CTTCTCAGCCACAGTGGCCAGAGAGAGGGATGCAGGGATGGCCTGTAGCCATTGTGGGCCACCCCACTCCCCCTTCTTTTCCCCCAGGGACTCCACTATCCCCAGGACCTGGGTCCCCATTATCACTGCATAGATCAGGGGGTGAATCAGACATTCCCAAGTTTCACAGTGTCCTCAAATGGGGCATAACTCATTAGCAGAACTGGGGGGAGGGCTGGTTGTGGGTCCCTCATGTTGTACTGCAGCAGTGGTTGCTACACTAGTAGCAGGGGCCAAGGAGGCACTCTGGGCATCTGAGACGGGGAACCAAGGTATTGGTGCAGGTCACAGTGCATGACTCTACCTCTCGCTGCAGCTGGATGCAGCCACTGCTTCACAGTGACAGGGGCTCCACTGGTCAGGCCACCAGGGTTTTCCAGCAACCACCCTGGGATTCTAGCAATGTCCTATGCTCCTGCCTGGAAATCTCCAGTGTTTTCTATCTGCTAAATGGAGGCAGCTGGCCACACCTCACTTGCTTCTGAAATTTTGGGGGGAATCTGCCCATTTGCCCCAGCTTGAATTTTTAGTGTACCCTCCCCACCCCCTCACTTAATATGCCATAATCTTCCAAAAAGGCCAAAAAAGTCTTGCAGCACCCCAGATGCACATGGCCCAGACACCTACCAGCACTGGCTGAGCTGCAACGCTCACAGTGCAGGCCCAGGCCCAATGTTCTGCCCCCTGTCGCCATGACCCAACCAGAGGTGAGCCACCCACATTGGCTCCTGCTGGGAAGGAGGGGGGGTCCAAGATGGGGTCCAGATAGCAGGGTGCCTGGCTCTGGCCTTGAAATGTGGTGTGCAGGAACAAGTGTCTGGGTCCACAGGGCTGTGCCTGAGTGCAGGGGCATGGGAGGGTCCCTAGATGAGTTTGCAAGAGCCAGCATCAGGGTCCATGAGGTTGTGCCCATATGTAGGAGTTCTCCCAGGCTCAGTGTCAGGTCTGTGTGTACATAATGGGGTATTTTGTGATGGAGTGCCGGGGCACATCTCAAAAACTCAGGTGCCCAGATCCCAGGACCCATGCAAGGGACACACCCTTCCACCCTCTGCCTTCCTGTGGTTGACAGATGGCTGGAGGCAGGAGGCAGGGCTCGGGAGAGGGGCTGTGCTGGCTTGGCTCCAGAAGAGCTCAGGGGCGGGGCCCACTGGGTGATTGGCCAGAGCAGCTGAGCATCGGCCGAGTGTTAGCGCACTCCATGCAAAGGAGGCTGGGATGCTGGAGGACACTGATCTAAACTGAATCAATAGAGGAACTGGTACAGAAGTTGGATGTACCTTTCTATACTAAACTGATCAGATTTGAATTCACATTGAACAATGGTTCCACCATTTTTAGACCCATCTAAGTGTGCCAAACTTCTGTATGGTTACAGGTTTAGACTGATTTTGATTACTTAAAACAGTCTAAATGTTATGTGTGTACCTTGCCTTGGTGTAATGTACAACTCAGTATCAAAAGCTACTCCATGAAAATGTCACAGATCGTTATCCAGTACAAGTTATTTCAAATCTTCCTGATGGAGTGGAGTAGTACCCCTTTTTACAGATATAGGTAACAGAAGAAGATGTTACATTCTTTCATCTTAAAACTAACTAAGCACTATAACTCACAGCGACTCAAAGTAAAAGAGATGCCCATGTCAAGACCAGGATTAGCTGAAAGAAAATCTTGCTCAGACCACCAAATATTCTCTCCCTCTTTCTCGAAAACACAGAAGATTACATGCATTTAAGCAACAGTATCAGCTCAGATGTCTATCTTTTACTCTGTTTACTTCCCTTAATTCATTGTTAGAACATTCAATTCATTGTATTCATGCACTGTAATAACAAATTGGTATTTTTTTTCTGAAAAAACACCCTGCCATATATACATATTTACCTGATCATTCGTAATGGATCCAAATGTCCTTTTCGGAGCTGTTTTAGGCTGTCATGTAAATACAAAATTAGAAAGGTTTTAAAAAAAAGTGCAACAGTCAAGGAGACTAGTAAATACACAACTATTTAAAGACAGACACTGAACATGGTACATTGTGACAGGTCTTTCAGTGCAGCTGACAGGTCAGTATACAGAAACCTAAACTCCTAAGGTCCAATCTTGCACAAACATGGGCAGTCTCAATGAACTCAGTGGGAATACACAGAATTGTGCAGAGAAAGCTAAGCTTAGAAACAAGTGTATGCATGACTCAGTTCTTAACAAAACCCTGATGGAATGAACCAGAAAAGTGCAGCTTTCAATCAGTGTAGCTGATATTAATATTGTCTGTTGTGTCCAAGATGACTTAGGAATTTACATTTGCAAAACAGAAAACTGATATACTACAAGAGTTCTAGTAGATGCCAATGAGTTAATAGATCACAATGGCTTGTTCTATAAATTAAAAAAAAATACTAAAATTTTATAGCAACAATGTACAATGCTGTGTGATGCATAAGCACTCTAGATTTAAAAAAGAGATAATTCCATTTACCATTGTGTTTGAGACTATCAAACAGTATTTGTTCAAATTATGTATGAATGAGGGGCAGTTTCTGTAAAATCCATTGAATCCTCAAATTTCATCAAGGGCAGGCCTCAGCACCTTCTGTATCAGGCCCTAATTGCTAGAAAAAACTTATTTGTAATATCTAATGCCCTGATCCAGCAAAATCTTATGTACATATTAAACTTCAAGCATTTTATTTGGAAAGTTAAGTTAAACATATAATTATAGAACTGTTTAGCTAAAATGCCTTTTGTACAAAGGTCAGCATAAAGACAGTGTAATAAACGTAAAAAATGGCAACAAAAAAACCCCCAAAAAGCAATTTGGTCCTACAAAGTTCAGCCAACTTAAATCCTAAAATCCAGAATTAAAAAAAAAAAGAAAGCCATAGCATTGACATCAAATTACATAGAATGTTGCTTCCAAAGCATCCTAAAGTGTTCTGAGAAATTCTAAAGAAATAGGTCATCTGTTTGCTAGTTCCTGAACATTTCAGGGTATCAAGGTAGAAAATATCTGCAGTGATTCTAAAAACATACAAGGGAGGTACCCATCTTCTGGTGATGTTGTAGCAAGAAGCCTTTTTTCGCCCCCCCCACCCCATGTGAAGCCCCTCCATATGACAAAAAGCCCCTTTTGCAGTATTTGCCTCCTTTTGGGGATGCTTTCTCTTTTCTAACTTGTCTTCCTTCCTCCCTCTTCTTCTTCTATTATATTATTATTTTTTATAGAATATAAGGTGTACTTGTAATAAAAATATAGTTTGTAAATGCTTTCATAGGTATAAAATAGAATTCTGCATCAATATGTCCCCCACTCCCCCACATTGTATTTGATCTATTTGTTGTATGTGCCATGGCATTTCACTCTTTTATGTGTTATAGTCTATGCTTTTTAATTTTGTAACAAATGTACTTTAAGTTTAAAAGTAAGTTGTACCATGTAACAATATTAGCAAGGGTGGGAATCAAACCGCAGCTTCTCTGTATGGAGTGGGTCCCTGAATGAATCTTGATTGATTGCGTAGCACAGTAGCTAGACAGGAAAACAAGTTAACGAGCAGCAGTTAACACCTACAAAATCACAGACTAAGGAGAGGAAAGGATCAATACAGAGCCAGGAACTCCCTGAAACTTCACTGTTTAAGGTACAGAAGCCCTGGTTTGAACTAATCACAGCAGTGAATTAATCAAACTTTATCAAGGGACTCCCAAGACTGCACGTACCTGCGGACATGACCCCTGGGGCTGACAGCTGCCATCCAGCAACCACCAAGGGGGATGTCCCATGAGGTCAACAACTCCTGGATTGGGTAAGCCTGAAAATTGGGGAATCACCAAAGTCTGCCAGAGAGGGATAAAAGGCAGTGAAGAATGACCCGCAATGGCACCCTCTTTGACCTGACCAGCACCCTGCCTACCCAGCCAGAAGGACCAGCCGGCGACCCCCTTCTGAAGCAACATTGCACTGAAAGAAGCCTTGACTGGCTATTGACGGTGGACTCCACCGCTTGGGGATAGGCATATGGTGACATTGGTGCTTAGTGTTCATAGCTAGCTACTGTGAGTGTGTGTGTGTGTGTGTGCATGAATGGGTCTGTGTTTGAGGGGATCAGCCCCAAGTTTTATGACCTGACTTTTGCATCTGTCTAATAAACTAGAATTTTATGATGATCCTGTGAGTTGCTCCTTTGTAGTCAACAATGTGACAGGCATCCTGTAAAACTATGTATAGCAGAGTATCAGAGAGAAGATTATAGAAATCACAGAAAATTAGGGTTGACAGCTGGAGAGGGGGAGGGGGTCATCTGCTGGGGAAGCCTGAGTTGCTATTCAACATGAGAACCCATCTCATGTGCTATCTGTGGCTCCTCTATGTCCTGCTGACCCCCTCAGATGAGTTTACAATTGCCACCACTATTGACACACTAAGCACATGACCTGATCTCAGCAGAGGTGCCCCAGCTGCCTAAGAAGAGTCCTACCATGCACCGCCCTTGGCTTCCCATGGCAGAAGGTCATCTAGTCCAACGCCCTGCTCAAAGCAGGACTATCCCCAACTAGATCATTCTACATGTGGAACACAAAGACATTCAAAAAGCCTGAGCCTGAATTGATTCAATCTTTGCAGGTTAGTCTAACCTGGCTAGGATAAATCAGTTTTGTAACCAGATGGACATCCCAGAAATGCAGGCACATGCCTGCAGTGGCTCAGGCTAGCAACCGGGGGATGCTAGAGCAGCCCTTCCTTCCCTTGGACAGTGCTGAGCTGAGGCCAGCAGGACGTTCTGATTATGGAGGGGTTCCCCGACTTCTTACCAGCCCAGCAGGGAATTGATAACAGTGTTTATCACCCCTAACTCAGTGTTTATCACCTCATTAAGAAAAGAACAGAGGGACATTACCAGCTACCTGTTGATTCTCCCTTTGTCCCGTCTGCCACAGCATGGATGGTAGCCCGCATGTGGTCCACTAGCTAATGTGGTGTGTCTGTGTAAGGCAGAGGAGACAGATGAATCCCTGGGAGTGGGAAGCCAGGCAGACGCCTACAGTCTGTGTTGAGCTCCAGCCAGGGAGCAGAGGGGAGGGGCCAGCTCTGCTGTGGAGCAGAGAGCTCTACCCAGCCCAGAGAGCATACCGATGCTGGGGTGTCTGATTTAACTTAAACCAGCAAGGGGTCTTGGACAGACATTGTAGAAATTGGTTTAACCCAAATCAGTTAAGTCTGATACTACATTCAACCAGGTTTACCTCAGCCTGGTTTCAGCCATTTTCAAACTGGTTATGTGCACTGAAGATCTCTTCTGTTTCAGGTTTAAACCAGTTTCTGATCACTTAAAATGGTTTATGTGTAATGTCTGTTCCTAGCCTAAGAGATGGAACTAAGCATTCATCCTCTCTCTCTCTTTCTCTGTCACTATTTCACTCTGCAGACTACATGATAGCTAAAACTAGTGACACAAGTTTTGCAAAGTTAATTCTGAAACCAGTCCCACTTTACTCCTAGACAAAACACAAGAAAGATGCATACATGGAAAAAATAACAGCACCTGCACACACACAACCCCAGTATCCTTACAACTCAGAGGCATTTGGGGAACAGAGCCACTTCATATTTCCCATATATTATTATTTAGTAGCTAAAATGGGCAGCTTGTTTTAGAAGCAAAATCTGAAAACTAAAGTTACATTTTTTTTTTCCAGTCATGATATGCTTTAGGTAAAATGTATGAATTCCTACAGCAAAGCTAAACCCACTGAGCATAGAGATACAGTATATAAACACTAATAAATCCAAACCAATAATAGTGTGAGTGTCATAGCTCTATAAAAATACACAGATCCCTAATATGCTGTCCCAGCTTCCCAGCAATGCCACTGAACTGCCCTGGATCCCACAAACCACTCCTGGGGCCAGGTTTACCTGTGTTCACTGGTCCAAGGACCTAGTAGCTTCAGCGGGAATTGGGGGATTGGTGGGATCAGGTAACTCTCTGTCCCCAAAATGGCATATTTTTAGCCTCCAGCCCCTCCACCCCCCAGACAACCACCCCTGCAGCAAACTAAACCCTGCCAATCCTTCATGCACCTCCTCCCTCCATCAGTTCTGGCATCAGCAAACACAACACCAGAAGTGGCTTTCAGGATCTGGGTGTTTGGTGGGCTCAAGGTGTAGCAAAACCCCCAGTGTTTCTTTTTATTTATATATATTTTGCACTGGGGTCACACAATAGAGAGGGAGAGAAAGAAAAGCCAGAAATAATTGGGGAAGGGAATGCGTGTGTGTGTGTGTGTGTGTGTGTGTGTTTGCATGCGTTGTATGTGTGTCTAGAGCAGCACTGAAGAGAGGGACAGTCCTGTTTTAAATACCAGTCTTGGGCATCTCACTGAAAACAGGACAAATGCATTCATTTGCCCCAAATGATGGGATGTCTGAAACATGCTTAAAATAAGACTGTCTCATTGAAAGTGGGACATGTGTCTGTAAGTGAACCAAAGTAATGCCAAGTTTCCATTTTGTATGTCAAGTCTCCATCTTGTGTTCTCTGCCTGGGCATCCCCTGTGTTACAAAACTGTATGATTCACGTGCCCCTCCCATGTAAATTGGTTCCCCGATGAATGAGAGTGATTGGGAATGATTGAAATACAATGGTAGCAGGCCTCTACTGAACGGCCTGTAATGACTGGGTCATCACCTCACATAGATTCATCCAGGAACCATGGACCTCACCCAGGAACAGAGACAAGAACCTAGCATTTGAAAGACAAAAGACCCTGCAGAACCAACAACTCCACTATTGTACCCCACCATTATAGAAACCCGAAACTGCACATCCCTGCATGGAGCACACATGCTCAGCATGCTAGGGGCTGACCCTTGCCTGGGCATGCCTCCTGTCACTAGGGTCACACAAGGTCTGCCCCTATAAAAAGGGGC